ACGATTACATTTTATTGTCCAAGCTTTCATGCAAATTCGCGGAGGTATAATAAACGGAATACATTAAAAGAAGTTCGCATAAGACTTCCATGCTACCAATTAAGAATGATATCGTCTGTTTATATTCAGGCACTGTGGAGAAATTTACTTCTGAATGGTGACTATAAGATTACATTCGTGTTCACTACATCATGCATACGTGTATCACGATGATTCTCAACGAGGCATGTGGAAATATTCAGAGGAAGCAGCTTTTTTCAAAGTTTCTGAGGAATTACGAAAGTTCTCACGAGTTCTTGCTGAGGTATCCGTAGAAATGGGGTTCTTCTCTGAGAAGATGTTGAAGGATCACTGTGCCCCGCGTGTGGTCCTTTCGAAATGTCCCTAGAGGACAAACGAGATATTCCTAGTCGAGATCCTTTCGAATTTTCCCGAAGAAAATCGATCTCTTCGTCAAGTCTTTCCCAAGGGACTTCGGATATCGTCCGTGATCCCCCCATTGGTTCTCAGAAATATTAAAAGTGTAATTGCCTACGTATAGAAGATACATCTCCCATCGATATCGTTTTAATGACTTCAGAAAAATTCGTTGAAAAATCGTGATGTTTTATATAATAATTCTAATTTTCTATAATAGTTATAGTAATTATAACGTTTAACATGCCCACTGTGCATGATACGCTACGTATCGTTTTATGACTCATTCACGTTTCGGCGCTCATGGTAGAATGTCTGTTCCAGTTGTTCCATATTTATAAATGCAAAGCAGAGATAAGATAAATAATAAGGAACCAGCGGCGGCGGAACTGTAAATCGCGTCGCGATTCTTCACGTGAAACAGCAAAAAGATCGTTTCTCGCAGACCGAGGTTTTTATTCTTGTAAATGAAACACAGGATTCCAGCGAAGAAAACAACGCGACGTTTGCGTTCCCGTGTTATAAGAGAGCCTATTGTCTATTCAGAAGTAGCTGGTTATAGTGGAAACGTTGCTGTTTCTTGTACGTTACTTCCTACTCTTCTAATCGCCGCGGTTTGCATAAATGTAACGTGCAAATTGTCAGTGACACTGTGTGGCTTAAAACTAGAAAGAGAATGTTACAATAACGCTTTGAGGGTACGCTAATAATATAAATTCCTCCAACAAACAATATGAAAACATTCTCCAATCTTTTTTCAATGGATGACCACCATGTTGAAATTTATATTGAAATTTAAATTTTGATATAATTTTTGGAGCAGTTATGCCCGGTGATGAGCTTCTTCGGTGGATCTAGTGTCATTTTGATAAATTATTAACTTTTCATATCCCTGATAAAGAAGATGAGGCGACTATATTAAAAGTATGTCGAAAACTCACATTTTCCGTTGTTAGCCCGAAGGTATGCTGTAATAATGTCGAATTGTTTTTCTTGTTTGATGGTGAGATAATCCTTCCGGCGCAGCTGACGGATCAGTATGCCGCCGGTATGATTGATATGGTCGCGTAAATTCAATATTAAAATCTGAAGTTCACTTTTACCTGTGAAACAAAAAATACATTGCTGGTTAATAAATCGTGCCTTGGAATATTAATAGTATTCGATTGATCGGATAAGAAAAATACTTATTAATCATTTTATGACTAACGGGGATAACGTTGTAACGCAATTTAGCTTTAAATCGTTCTATCATAATTGTCTGAACAGTGAATAAATTGTGTGTTTATAATACTTTAGCTTCAATTCAAAGCCCGCCTTGATTTTACGCTGATAATGACGAGCCATTGTTTCATCGCGCGGCATCGAGATCGTGAAAATAAAGAAATTCTGGGGAACAAAAAGTCAGTCTCAATCTCATTCGAGACTGAGATTTAAAGAGGATGATCGTCAAGTTAATCTCCCGTTGATTTTATATTTGAAACTATATTATATGAGGAGTTTAGTTCTGCAATTGAATTAATTAATTTTTTTTTTATGAGCTTTCCTACTCCAACACATATTTCCTACGTTTCAAACATTATCAATACTATCATATTAAGACACATATTCCTCAATTCCAATTCTTACAAATAAATCCACAGAAACATATACATATACTACAAAGAAATTGCTACAAATTTCTTTTAATTCTCCACAATTGAACTTTTACCCCTGACGATTTATGTGCAAGATATCCTAAAAATTTAATAATATTTTCATCCGCAACAGGGTAGCAATCTTCCCGAGGGCCAGAGGATTTCGAACGCGTCGCGTCGTAAAATAAAGAATATTTTCAGCTGCACTCGGGGTGATTCGAAATCTGACGAGTTCGCAAGGGTGCGCGATATTGTGGGGGATACTTCGAAATTGACGGGGGCGCGTTTACCCGGGGTCAGGTTAGGCGAGACAAGGCGGGACACTGCGCGCAGCTCGTGAATTGAAGCCGCAATCTTGATAACGGCCCGAAAGGGCTCTCCCTGTGTACACACTCGCCGAAGATTGCAGTTTTCCAACTCTTCCCGGTGTTACTTATGCTCCCTAGGTTCCCCGATCCCGCTGGAAGAAATCAGCGCCACGCCGGCACCAGCCCTTTGATCATTCTGAACACGGCGGCCCAGATGTTCTCAATCGAGCGGCCCGCCGGGATCGCCTAAGCACGCCTTAACTAAGTTGAATAACTTCCGCGTTAAAATTTAAATTGGCTAACTCAGCGAAATGGTACATCGCGTCGAATATAAAACGCCGTGAAAGAAATCTTCGACGGGGCTAGGGTTTCTATCGCTCGCGTATCAACTCCACGCACGTTCGACCTCCATTGCGTATTCATATCGGCGCGGATCCGTCAGGGATTAGCGAAACGTTCCATGAGTCTGTCCGTTCAGGTAACGAGGACAGCGTGTGTTTTATTTTAAGATTATTATTATTCTAACGTGACTCTTTATGTAAAACGTATGATTTTTCTATTTTCATAGATGGAAATGAGAATGAGATCGATCGTTGTTTCTTCTGTGGAAAGTATGATTCGACTGATGAGTTTAATTATTTTGTATTTGGTATTTTGTACGAAGGGAGTTGAGGCTGCGAGAATTTTGAAGAATACTATGTCTTGATGCGCTTCAATTCCGCGTCCACTCAATCTAACCCCTGTTTCCACCATGCACGTTCAACGAAGTAGCATCGTCTATAGAAATAAAAGGAGTGGTTCTCCCGTGGAAAAAAGGAGGAAAAAGTAGCACTCCAAGTCAAAGAACCTTCTTCCCTTCAAGTCAACGAGGTCGCTTGTCTGTCTCGGCACTGCGACCTCTTGTCTCGTCAGCTTCTGCCGAAGTGTCTTCGCCTAATTCGAGTAAAATTTCGAATTTCTCGCGCCACGTTGGATCGATGTCTCCAGCGAAATTACGCTACTCGTAGAAACTCGCTTAATTATTGATCCCCGGGAAAGGTAAAGGCGTTTTAAATCATACGAAATTAAAATTTGAGGATTATCTTCCTCTCCATTGACAAAATAATTAAAACAATGGCGACCACTGACGTACTTCTACCTCATTCTACGTTTTATATTTAAATTAATCTACCCACGAGGTATATTCCATCGGACGTCTCTTACCAACCTTGCTCATTACTTCTTAATTTATTAATAAACCACATTTTCCGATAGAATATTAAATATTACGTGAAATTATCATTTCATGCAATTATCTTACCATACTTTCAAAAATGCGTGAATTTCAAACGGTTCTTCAATTTTAATGTTTTCTCGCGATGACGAGCATATAAAGCAAACTTTTCCATTTTCCCTTCCATATTAATTCCTGCGACATGTAGCTACAAATCTTTTTCCCCTGTGACCGCAAGGAAATTAATGTACCGTTCTACAGCGACGTCGAGTTACAATTTTAAACTTTAATTATCAATATTCCCCTCTGCGAACGGGACACCGAAGAAACCGCGATACGTTTCTGTTTCATCGATGCCGGTTACACAATCAACGTATTCAGGTCTACGGCATTATGAAATTCTACGCGCTGTATAATCGGATCCCGTGTCTTCAACAAAGAGATGCGTCCACAATAAATGTCCCCGATGTAAACCCATTTATCAAACGCCTACGTGTCCCTCTCTTTTTCCCCCGCTGTTACGGACGTTTGTGTCTCTTATTGAATTACTCTTACTTTTCCATAGCAGACGCGCCTTTTGCAGATGCTGATGCCGGGGACGCGCCTTCAGGGACGAGGCTGTCGAGTCGCTTTCCGATCGTCCCCTGTCACCGTCTGGCAACCCGTAGATATCCAGCAACAGCTGATCCACCAGCAACGAGACGCTGCGCTGCTTTCTCGATAATACATGAGGCAACGGCGTCGGATACGTCTGTGACACGCAATAATATTCACCCATTATCGGTTGAAACTCTAATGAAATTCGACTGACATCTAATTATGAAAACTCCATTCGATTCAGATCGCGGAACTCTAATTTAATTTCATATTGCACTCGAAAAGCCTTATATTCTCCGAAGACGTATTTACTTAGCCTTCGCCTAATTCTCTTACTACAGTCAATTTTCTCTAATACCCGGCAATCTCCCATCGTCTCGATCGAACTTCCATTTTCTCCAGGTGAACGAGCAAAAATTGTTTATGGAGTTTCATTGAACTGTCAGTTTTCCCATATATAGATGTTTATATGAGTTAACGTACAAATGTGGAAGAAATTGGTAATTAAGAAGAACGACGAGAATGAATAAATAAAGAACATTTAAAAATGTAGTAAAAGTATCTTTTTCATTATAGTTTATATGTTTCCGAATACTATAAATGCATCAATTTATAGTTTATATATTACTTCCAAAATACAATTCTTTACTCTCGAGGAAAGCAGTCTAATAATCGAAAAAGTATAACGTTAAAATTCAATAAGAAAAGAGACGAAAGAGGATTACCTTCAGATTCCTGACTTCAATTTCTTCCTGCCCGTCGCCATTGTTCTTGCAATCGTATTGAACCATGGATCTCGTGTCGCCGGTCGATCTGGACCTCTTCAGGCAATTCTTCGTCGCTTTGACCGGCATCACGCTGGCCCTTCTAATCGGTTTCTTCTTATTCAGCTCCATGAAATCCGGCCCCTCCCACCTCTTCTGTATCAGATTGCATTTTCTCCCGGCGTACAACGAGGGAAACTGATACCCGTCAGCACAATACAGAAGATTCCTAGTCTGCTGAGTGACGTATACGTCACCAAACACCCGCTCGTTCTCCACGGACACGCATTTCACGCGGTAACTAATTTCCGCGTACTTCTTCAGGGGCGTCACGTTGCAGCTCATCTTCCGTCAGCTGTTTCAATGCTCCATTAACGAAATAACCCGCGACTTCCTTAAATCACTTATACACGATCGTCGAACATGGATTCAGTAAAAATAATGTTTGTCGTTCGAAAGTTTCCCGATTGTTTCATCGAAGGCGCCTGTTCGAATGATTTCACTGAGAATTACACGTCCGCGCCTGTTACTCGTACCATTATTTTCGTCTGGATCGCGAAATTGCTCGTCATCGGACAACTTCAACGCGGAAACTCGTTAGGAGGTTACAATGCGGACTCGAAAACGGCGATACACGGAAAATTGCGTTTCTCGCGAGGCCTCGTGTTTCCGTGGAACTGAGAAGTTCGCGGGGTTGGACGGATACAAAGCGGCCGATGAAAATTAACATAATTAAGCGATCCATTCCACCCTCCCCTCCTCTCTGCGCAGCGGGGCTTGTCGTTACGCGAGAACAGATAAATTGCCGGACAATAACTCCCCGACATTTATACGCGGGACAAGAGATAAAGAGCGACCTTCTTCGCCGGTTGCAATTATCTAACATTTATCATTTTTGATACGCGCCGCGCCGTAATTGTTCCTAACGCCGGCGCGGGGAATCAAGGTTCAGGAAGTGTTAACGAAACCATATGTCGCGGGCACTGTTGCGAACCGAAGCGGTCGTTGCGACGAATACGCTCGTAAATTACAGGGAAATGTTTACGAACGATTGGCTTCGGTGCAATTGTCACGGTCGGAAACCGATTAACGTACTGTTCCATCGCGTCCCATAGGAAAAAGGTCTTTGTGCTTTTCGAATAACTGGTGTATTTGAAGTATCGATGAATATTTAATCCTGTTCGTATTTGTTAAATGTCACGCGTCTAGTGTGTAATGTTTGTTTAGGATTTCCGTACAGCTATTTGTTTACCTGACAGAATAACAAATGTTTCCACTGGCGTTTCACTGGTTTAAAAATACACGCACGAGCACTGTTGGTTGTTCGGTGTTGCTTTTTCTAGAATCTACGACCTGTGAGGTTTCCTTATTTTAAATATTTTTTTTATCCTACCCCTGGACGTGTTTTATGTCACTGTTTAAGTGCGACTGAATAGTTTTTTATTGCGCTACACCGGCGTCGCATGCGTTATCAGAAGACCGGCAACACACTTCTGGTGGGCAGACCGCAACTGGAAGTGTCGGCGATGATAATCGTTTCATTAAGTCCGTACCTACGTCCCTGTTGTCGTCGAGCAAGACTGTAGAGGTGGTGCACGACTAATGGAACAGTTGTTAGATATTATAATTACCACGAGTCCGGCAACGGCGCGGCGTGACCTGTTCGATCTGGAAGAATATTAGTAACTACCCTATAAATCTTACACATTCACTTAGATCCACTAGGTTAAAAACTGCAATACAGCAAAATGAAAATACTCGAAAAATCCGTAAGGAAAGAAATAAATATTCCTGCTTAAACTTCTATTCGCCCATTCTCAGAAATAAATTCCTACAATTTTCTTTGAACAGGCTTCCGAGTGACGTTTAATAACGTTTCTTCGTAAAGAAAATTAAACAGCCAAGAAAAGGAAATTCGAAAAGTCAAGCTTGGGAAGTACAGGATCTCAAAGAAAGTTTGAAATTTAACGGAAGAATGTTAATTGTTTTTTGCCTCGGGCATTTGGAGAGGAAACATTCGGTGAGATTCTGAATTCGGTTTTTCTCTAAGTTTAATTTTCTTGGCTCGCAATTCGCGAGTAATTGCCAGCGAAAAATGTGTCTTACCGGTCACGTCGCATTCCCGCACCGTCCCCACGGTCTTCTAGTAGGAAGTTCGTGGGGGAGCGCGATTTTAAGCCGGTCAACGAAACCACTACTGTTATCGACGCCGCTGATAGCGCGACCGATGTAATGTAGTGCACACTCAGCTAGAATTTTAAATGCTCGTCGGGTGTGCTGTAGTCGTTCACCTGGCTGGTTCAATAACCCTCTTCCTGACAAAAAAAGTGCTCCGGAGGGACGGAGCCCCTATCTTCCTGGTGACAAGTGCATACGGAGCACTATTTCAAGCGTCGACCGTCTGTAAATAAATTTCATACGACAGAAGAATGCATGATAAAGCCGCAGATGAAACTTCCATACTCTCACATTTCGGTTTTCATATTTTCCGCAATCACCGTTCATCAATTGAGTTACAATAATGTTTAACAAATGTTTTAATTAATGTTCAATTCATTCAAATGCGTATCTCTTTGCAACGGTATATCTCGTATGAATTTTAACAGAAATGAATGGGACATTCTCTCCGAAGCGCATTATTCATTTACTGCTTCGACCATTTAGTTTTATTTTATTTCCCATCGGCGTGGACCTCTGCTAAAAATAATGAAGAAATAATGAGAATTTCTGCACCATTTCGGAAATGGTCGTTTTATACTTTATCAAGGAAGAAATCATGTTTAAAAGAGTGAAAAAGTTTTATAATAAATTCGATAAGTAATGTAATACAATTTTACTGGTGAAACTCTGTTTTAATGTTTTATTATAAAAAATAGGATTCGAGTGCGCTATGAATTTATCTAAAAGCCTTACCGCATAGTAAGGCTGTATTGTTTGATCGATTCGCGTCACGCTTTCGAGATACTGTCGCTATAGGAACGAAACATTAGCGACTGGTGTCAGGATAAAAATTACGGCGTGATTCCATGGTGGCCGGCGGAGATTATGCTTTGGGAAAGTGGCTTCGCGATACGTTCGTATCTCGATTGATCCGCCGGCGTTCCGAATATGATAGAACCGCGTTGTGTGTGCGCAGAAAAGAAGGCGGAGGAGGAGGACGAAGGGAGAAAGGACGCGTTAGGTCCTCGCACGGATGACATTTACGGAACCTGCAATCTTCCGGCTCGTTTCATGTACCCACGTGAGTCTAAATAATTTATCACTAGCTACGTTTCGTAGCGAACACCGCCGCCCAACAGTTCATGTTGGGGCACCATTCGATCTGCATATAAATGGAGTTTGTCTCTATAGACATATTTTACCTAACCTCGTTAATTCTTTATGACTTTATTTCATAATTCGTCCTGTGAAAGCTATAACATCTTTCTCCTATGTTTATGATGATTTTAAACGTATAAAACACGATCAAATTAATAATTTCATAGGTATTTAAAATATTTGTATTCTATAATATTCGTAATTAATTTTTGTATGAATATTGTGACTATTAATACTTTGATAAACGGATCAGATTTTCATTCGAACTTTAATAATTGAATATTTGTCTGTTTTGAATGCGCAAACTTTTGATTAAGAATGTACAGCGTATTATATTGCCAATAGCCGGTTATAACGTAACGACTATTTTGTTCGTTACGTGTAACGTGCGTTGTTTCTGGTAGCAACTTAATTAATGAAAATTGGTGTAATGTCGGCATGCAAATGTAAATACGTATGCGATTCGCTTAATTCGTTTCGTTCTTGATTCTGTGTATCGTGGAAGTAACACACTTCGCGGAAGACACCGCTATAAGAAGCTTCTTCGTGCTAAAACGATAACGTCCCGCTATTAATAAGTCAGTGCTCGCGATCGGTACGCCCGGCGAAGCTTATCGGTGTTGCAGACATTTTTGCATATGTCACAGGAACCCTTCACAAGATAGTCATTGTTGGGAGTGTGCACAATTCCCCTCTTTCAACGCATCTTTCGTCAGAAACCATTTTGTCCCATAATAATGAGAAAATAATTTACTCGGTAAACTGTCTGGGTACAACTTATTATGCTCCATAGTATAATTATCTTTCCATACTTACAAAGTATATTCGATGTCTTTCCAGACGGAAAAGAATATAATTATTCTGTATGTACGCATGTGCCCGAGAAGAGAAAGTTGTTCAATAGCCATTGTTCCATGTGTAACAAATATTTCTATATTTCTTCACATTTACGAAAGTAACAAGAAACGTGCGTAATCTCGATTCCCCAGAAAACGTCATGTTCCTTGACTATTGTGCGTCGCACACATAAAAAACAAACATTTTCATCATAAGCAAAGTTTGCATCGCAATCACAATACAATTGGATTACACCCGCCGTTAACAGAGATCGACTGTCATTCGCGAAAAAAAGATCACACAGAACCTCAAATTACAATTGCAAACGACGGTATCTCAAAGCCTCTTTGAACTTCAACAGGCGCGAAGCTTCAAAAGAATAACAAAGACCCCGGTCTCCCTGAAAAATCAAAAGCTGTATGAAAATTCAGAAAAGTAAAGCCCGTGCTTTGTCTCGAGCCCGTTAAATCACGAATATTAATTTCTCTAGAAAGAAGCCAGTCCTCGAAAACGGCATCTCAATGAAATTGAATTCCGAGGATGAAACGCAGCGGTATCCGGGTAATCAGCGAGCCAGATACCGAAGTTTTAATAAAGCCGTCCGGGGATGAATAAAACATCGAATTTCCGCGAAACCGGACTTCATCGTCGCGGATTACAGCGCGGACGGTACAGCCGTGCGTCCAATGGTATCACTTGAAGAGTAACCACCGGTTTATACGGTCCGGCTGCGCTTCGATACGCGGCAATCGCAATCAACCGCGTTCAGTGGCCGTCCAGCATCTGAGCACACCATGCGCTTCCTCTTGCTCGTTTATCTCCTGTTATCGGTCACCGGTCAAGACGTTAGCGCCGAGGAAGCGGACTGCCAAGTTTACAACCATCTCTACGTCTGCCTGGCGAACGGGGTGCTGATTAACGTCGCCTTCGAGGATGTGAACGCGGTGCAGACGATCGAGGACATCGAGCTGCACCTGGAAGCATTGGGGATCGTGGACATAGCGAAGGACGCTTTCGTCGAAGTCGCCAATTCCTCGGCGCTCTACATACGCGACAATGACCTGACGGTCATCTCTAAACACTATTTCACCGGCTTGGACCAATTGACATACCTGGACCTAAAAAACAACACTATCGTCGAGATAGAGGACGGCGCCTTCGCCAAACTCCACAACCTGGAAACCTTATTGCTGGACTATAATAATATTTCTACTCTCAAGCCCGGCGCTTGGAAAGGCCTCAACGATCTTCACGAGCTGTATGCCACGAACAATAATATCGTTTTGAGAAGAAACATGTTCAAGGGACTCAGGCACTTGGAGACCCTCGCGCTGGACAATAATGAGATCACTGAAGTGCCGATTGGAACTTTTAATGGTCTGCCGCACATCGATTTGCTTTATTTGTCCAGGAATAATATTTCGTCGCTTCAGCCGGAGGTCTTTAGAGGACTGGCAGAGTTGAACGAGCTCGATTTGGGGAGGAATAGGTTGAAGAATCTTCCTGGTGGCGTATTCCGGCATTTGAAGAACTTGAATTCGTTATGGCTGAATGGGAATTATATAGTTACGCTAAAGGCGGACGCCTTCGAAGGATTGGATAATTTGTTGCTTCTGTTTTTGAGCGGGAAGGAACTCCGATTAATGGACATGTCTATCTTCAGTCGGATGAAGAACGTGACGGTCGAGCCTGGGTTCAAGATACGCGGGTCCTTGGTGCATCGTGTTTCGAACATGCAGGGACGGTTTCGGTGCAGCAGTGTCTCGGAACAGTTGCCTTACGAGTGCATTGAAATTGAACATTAGATTCTGTGGTGCTGTGAATTGTTGTCTATAATTCGCTGTTATCATGTCGACGATAGAGAATTTTAAAGCTGTTTCTATCGAAATTTGAAAGTAATTATAGTTTTCGTAATAGTCTATAGACCCAGCTGTTTTCTAATAAAATGTAACTACACGAAGATTGTAATATGTAACAATATCATTTCATTGTAGTTTCACTGGAATCAATAGTGGACAAATAAAACTTTACTCATTTCTTGATTCTTTGAAATCTTTAAAATCTTCTATGTTAGTTCGCAAAAAGTTCCGTGGTTCACTGATTATTATATTTAGTTGATAGTTTTCTGTACTGCCATAGAGAATAATTATGTATAATATTCATAGTCGCTAAGCTTTTTGTATGTTAATAAAATGTCGAAAATTTATATGAAATACGATTGTTCTATAAAATATACTATTCGTAAAAAGTAAACGGAGTTGGATGAGCAAAGAACAGTTTATCCGATGGAAGTTGTTTTTGCAGGAATCTTTAGGGGATACCGGCAGGAAGACAGTCCTCTCCCGCATCCTTGTTACAGGAGCACGTCGATGGATTATGGCTGGTACTCGCCGACGATCCACACGGTGCCAACGAGATATTATCCGCGAAACACTTCTTTCAGCGAGCACCAATCACGCGGAGGAATGTACCGAAACTCCTCCTTGAACACGGAATTGGACAAAAGCATCGTTTAAGTATTTTATCAGCAGTCCCCGAAAATCCATCGCAATTCAGCTAACTTTCAAACTAATACAAAATTCAGACAATATTTTTCAGATTTTGAGAGAAACAAAAATACATTATAAAACTACTGTACGCGGTGTATTGCATATTTTCAATAAATCTGTTGATTACGAGGTCGAGCATGATACGATCTTAATTCTAATTGGCAGGGCAACGAAATTGACAAAACGAGTCGAGTCATAATGATTCATGTTTATATATATATTCTTTATTATTACAGTTTAGCTTACGTATCGCAGTAATCGTATTTTTTCAACAGACCCTACACGGACGACCCAGCGCGACGCGCCGCGTCGCCGACTCTATCGCTGACTAAAATGGTGTCGTTACGATTTCGTCACGATTACTGGGATTATTGTTTTCTTTTACGTTCACTAAGTTTCCATCTTCGTTACAGCGTTCTCGCTAGGGTCTGAAACAGTGGTTTACGCAATGTCCTCGGACTTGAGAGACACCTCTATAACATTTGATAATTCGAGTGCATGCCGTTTTGCTTCGGTTACGCTTGCGTTTAATGTAAATGTCCATCATAATGGTAATGGTAACTTCAACATAGATTTTTCGCATGTGTGTGTGTATATATATAATATATTTTTCATATATTTATATATATATATTTATAAATGTGTATACATAACACAATATGAGACTGTTCAATTCGTCGAAGAGTTCTTAACATTTTCAAAGTTACAACAGTCATAACGACCCGCAGAACGTTCAGCAACGTTTTTCGTTAAGTCCTGTAATATTTACTGGTATGCAAGTGTCTATGTTCGCTTCTACGGCGAGACGCGCCGCCGCGTACGGTCCAGGGTATCCAATTAACCGGGCCGCGTCGACGATTTCACGGAGAAGCGCTGTCGAAGATCGCCGGCGCTACGGCCAATCGAAATCTAGCGTCCAGAGGCCGCGGGTGTTGCTGGTCTCGGATATCGGAACGAGTTTGCCCAGCGATTTTCCACATCATGTCACGTATCAAAATCTTCTTAATGGCGTCATGTGAAAAACTGAGCGAACCCGCGGTGGATCGCGTCGATCGAGCAGGAAACCGTCCCGGGAGTCGTCGGCGCAACAAACTTATTAAACCGCTCCAGCAACCAGAAGTCGTCCTGCTCGACGCTGCACGCATTCCTCGTCGCTTATCCGCGCGAATCCCATTCTCCGCGTTCGCGTCTCGCGCGAAACACGGAAACACCGAGCTCGAAATTCAATTTTATCTGTTACCGTCTTCACATTCCGTTTGTAGTCTCGCTTCGAGCCTATAAAATCGCTTCGGGGAATGAACGATCGAAGGACGACCGTGAAACATTCTTGGTTCCCATGGAAGATACAGATGAAACGATTAAAAGGCTAGCCGGAGGTGTCGTTGACTCCGTCGCGACGAGGAACACTCGAACGACGCTCCGTGAAACGGTCGTGCTCGCCGATCGTCTCCCAGCGTTTATCTCGCGCTCCCTGGAAACGGACTGCGACTCGATCGCGCGCGCATCAACGACGTCGCGGGAAAAGTTATCCATGATCGAAACGTTTCCGCGATATCTCGGGAGAATTTCCGCTGGGACGCGCGTTATTATCTGGTTTTTCTCGCGACGAAGATCGACGAGGAGCACACGACGCGGCAGCCACATCGGTATCCCTGAACACTGCGCGGCGCTCTCGCGCCATTCCTTCGAATCCTTAATGATAGTCCATACCTTTAATATAAATAATTATTACATTATATTCAATAATTCAATGATGATCCTTAACGGCTAAACGATGACAGATAGAACTCGCATTTTACGCAATTACTTTAACATCCCATCCGATTGCTCTTCGTTTTACGTGGCGGTTAGATAAACATGGTTAATGGTCGCACGATCCGGGGAAAAGTTAATAATTAAACCACGGAGATTACGCGGTTCACGAAGCTTGGAATCGAATAGAAACCTTCATTCGGTGTTTCGACTAGTTCCAAGCTCGGTGTTTCATTTTTCACGAAACTTTCCGCTACACTAACTCTCGAACAATCAAGCAAGCGTCGGAAGCGCGTAAGATCCACAGTTTAATTACTAACCGGTCGAAACCGAGCGTAGACGCTGGATCGCGATCGCGTCGCGTCGATCTTATTCGTTGTTCGTTTGTGACATAATTGAGGCGCTCGCGGTTACATCTTCGCTTCGAACAACCCCGGCTATCAGCAAGAGGAAGGTATGTATGTAGTTACCACGCGCGATCGTCGAGGCGGCGTCCATTTGCGAGCGACGGAACAATCGGAGTCGATCGTCGTCCGATTCAGTTGATCTTCCTCGATTCGATCGACTCACGATCGTTCGGTCGCTCGGCTCAGTTTCGCTGGAACGTTCCAAGCGGTGTCGCGACGCGTCTGGGATGGTCCGCGCCGCGAGAAGAACATCGATTTAAAGCTAACGCTACTCTCTCACACTTGTCTCGTTTCGAGAGGCGCGATCGCTCTCACGCGACGCTCCGCTCTGTAATACCTTATATTGTCGTACAATTGATATCGAATATCGTTTCGTAACGGAAATTCGTCGCGCGCCGCCACGGCGTCTGCGGCGGAAGCGATTTATCGATGTAAATCACCGATTTATCGACGATCGACCGTGCTCGAAGGGTGAAACATGGCGGCACGCGAGATCCCCCTTCGCTTTCTTCCTCCCTCGCCCCTCCGCGTTACATACATTCTCTAACCAATTTACAATTAATTAGACCTGAAACTTCCCGTTTCCCATTTCACGGATTACCGTTACATCCCTGGAACAATAGGCTACGCGTTCTCCGTTTCACGTTCGTCTCGGTTTTCGGCGACGCGATCTATACGCTCGCCGCGTACAAACCGATATACACCGCTATTTATCGTTACAGTTTACATGTATTCATTAATCCTGTAGAATAATCGTGTTTTTCGTGTGAAGGTGAATACCTGTGAGGGTGTATGTAACTCTGTGTGTATGTGTGTGTGGGTGTGTGTGTGTGTGTGTTGTTCTGTGTCGATTATAATACATGTGGGCTAGCACTCGTTTGAAATCAAGGAGGTAACATACGGTTACATAGAGCCTAAACTTACTAGCCTATCGTCGGTAATATCCCTCCTCTTCACCGGTTCTCGTTAAGTATTCTTGTTTTTTTTCTCTTATTATCCTTAAATCCATTACACAGAGACACCGAATGTAATTCGTATTATATTCAATGATTCAAAGGTGCGAGCGCGCGACGCGATCGGCGCCCGGATCGATTCGAGGATCGGAATCGGCGTGATCTTAGCACTGTATTGGTTGCTTCATATACATTATTACGACCCTTCCGCATTCGTTGTAAATAGATCGTAGTTTGGTGTTATGTATCACAACCGAAGCGTTGCGCGTCCTGCTGATTCGGAACGATTGGTGTTCAGAGATTGTTAGAGACTATAGTTCCTTCAACGAGACGAATCGGTTTGAGTAAACGAGACATTAGCATGCTACGTGTACTAACTCTATCCGAAGAACTTGAACTCGACTATGTCCCATCTAGACGATGGTCACGTGTCCTTGCTCATAACTGCCGACTCGACTCGTTGAATGAATTATACGGGTCTAGCTTTGCGCGGACATGACCGCACATTTGTTTTCGCATAGAATATGAAAAGAAAACTTGAGAGATCGTCGGAAGGGAAAGCAACGAGGCACTAAATTTGCGGCGCTAAAGCCGTGAACTAAAATCGCCGGATCGCGACCGTTCGCTTGATCGCGCGGACACCGATTTTTCGGGTCGAACGCTCGCTTTGCTCGGCGAGAATGATTAAAATCCCTCTCTAACGTACCCCAGGCTATGCTCGATTTCAGATGCGTCTCGCAGCTTGTCAAATCGCGCTTCGAGTTGACCGAATGAAGCAACATTCGAGAAGCTGAGGGACAATCGATTTGGTTACACGCGATCGTTTCCCTATCGTGAGCAACGGCGACGCGTCTGAGCCTGGTTCCTTTCCGTTTCTTCCATCTAGAACTTACTTTATACGGTGTCCAAGGCATCTAATTAGTTCCACGGCCTTAATTGTAAACTATTTCACGGTGAAGTCTTAGCCAACAACGGTTGTTACACGACACAGGAGATTCTAGATAAGATTAGATTAGATCTTAGCGCTAATTCACAGTAAGGAGGAAAAAACGGGATGATGTGATTTACGTTCGAATGGATTGGGACTGTGCGGTATAATTTTTTTATTGTTTCTCTCTATTTTCGGTTCGTGGAGCGGGATACCTATCTGACTACTGGTATTGCTGGTACGTTGTTACGACGAAATCAAACGTTATTCGCATACGTAAATACGATTAAAAGGATATATTGAAGAGGTATTAACGGCTGCTCACTACATCACACGGGCACTAGAACAAATCGGTTAAGGTAAATCGTTTTCGCTAAGATTTGCTTTCATATTACTTTTTCTCGCCTTCGTCAAGCGGTCGAGTGCCTGACAGCGTTTTTGTTGCGTTCGATCGATCGTTTAGTTGTGATCGTCTGGGCGATCTCGAAAGCGTATCAACTACCATCAAATTCTATCAACTCTGAAACGTAATAACAAAATCTTTCTTTCCTACTTCAGCGTAGAAAGAAATTTTCTCATATTCTTATCGAAATGGATATTCATTTACGAAGTCGAGATATTGCTCGCAGAGGAAGCTTACAGGTTACACGGATCGTTTCAGATGTTAATATCAGACGATCACGCAGGTTGTCCCGGTCCGATTCCGAATTCGCCCCTAAGTGGATCATCCCTAAGATATCTCCGTGAGAAGCCTGCTAAACTCTAGTCGGTTACATGAATCGAAGTCGATGCCGTTTTATTCGTCTAGACTCCCAACGCTTTGAACCCAGCTGCCTTTTCTAGTTTTCTATCCTACCTAGTGCTTAAACTTGCACCCCTGAGATATTCGGTATCTTTAACCGCATCTACGTATCAGTGCAGATCGAACCCGTCCTAATCAGCGAGTCCGTTCAAGCGCGTTTACACTGTCCAGCTGTTTATCTCGATTTATCATCTCGCAAAAACCATCCACTTCGAATCAACGATTCTCCCGAATTATTCAAACAGTCACCATTGATGTCCCTTACAAGTTCAGTTTTCAACCTTCCCATTCAAAATTCCAGCAATTTCTCGAATCGTTCATACGTCGCCGCAGTGTACACGCGCCCTTAAGCCTTCGTTTCGTTCTGCGTCGTGGCGTCAGCTCCGAAAGCGTGTGCACAATTTTCGTTCCCGAGGACTTTGCACTTCGCCAGGCGACTGCAACCCCTTCAAGGGTTGCGGAGATTGTTATTCAAAAGTACAGTCTCAACAGTCGCCGGTTTTTCCTTCGATTTTTGATATTTCGTTCGGTTTCCGCTTTGAGTTTCGGATGACAGCGGGTGTTCGAAAAATTAGGTACCGTTCGAACTAGCACTGGAGACCTCCTATTCTCGTCGCTCTAAAACGCCTACGGCCTATCTCCTGTCTACGTTTCCTTGGAAATGAACAGTCCTTACGAAAGTCCACAGAATCTAAACCTACGAAAAACATTAACGCGAAACGAATCCGTAAATCGAGGTACCGTAATTTCAATCGTTCCCCTTGCCGAGCGGGGAAAAACCCTCTCGAGAAATTGACGTGTTAAATGAACCTAACGCCTTCGTTCGCCAGCTGATGTTTGATGCTTGGACGGTGTACCAGCACTTATCCACGATTTACGCGGTGCACGGGCGCGAAGCGGCCGGCGACCATGCGGATGCAACGGGTGCACGTGTTCTCATATAAAAAGTATAAACAATAGATCTCATGGTTAAGTGCGCAGTAAGTGTGTTACAAAAGAGACGGTCGCGTGCACGCCGTCTCGGAATGAGTGAAATCGGTGACAAGAAGGGCACTTAAGTTGTCAAGGCACATCAATAACCAAACCAGTCGGACGTCTATTACTTCGAAATGAAACTCGTGCGACTCGATTAATTAGCAACGAACCATTCGTAGACGAGATCTGTGCGCGGCGTAACAGTCGAATCAAAAATTGTGCTGTAGAGGATGGATCGATATTTACTTTTGTATCTGCGTGGCGCTTCGTCTATGCCGTTCGCGGAGCAATTCAAACTGGTTACGCGTCACGAAAAACGCCAAAATGGCGGTGTAAAGAGGCGACGCTTGCTGTTTACTGTCCTACTCGTGCTCTATCGCATCTTTGCCTAACCAACGAAACTTCCGATATTAATTGTTCCAAGTAACTCGTAACGGAACAAAGTCCAACATTTAATTGAGAATTGATGAGGGAATAAAACATTAGAAGGAATTCATATTTTGACTTTCGAAGCTGACACCACGAGGTCTGTCTTCGTCATAATACATTGATCAGCCCTTACGCTAATGTAAATTGAGATCATTTGGACAAAGTGAATTTCATTTTTTCTTATTATCTCTCTCTTTCTTTCTCTCTCTCTCTCTCTCTCTCATTTTCTTTATCTTTCTTGTTCTCTATCTCTTTTTGTTTTCTCTCTTATTCGCCGATCGATTTTATCATCGGCCGTATGATTCTGTAACGAGTACTGTTCCAAAGAAGTAAACCGCAACGCATATCATTCCCGCGAAACGGACGCTGTACGTATATATTTGCAGATCATCAAACGTTTTCGGCTTGCATCGAAATTCGCGTGCGTGCGCAAACAGTTCAGAATGCCCATGCTTCATTTTTCTTTCACCTTCGCCGTTCCCGCGACACCTTTAAGTCACCCACTATTCGCGTTTCGTCCTCCCGTGCCTTAGTTCACGAACCCGTTTATTACATTTTGATTTATTTACTTTTTTTTTCTTATTTCACGGTGATCGGTCTTAACACTACGGATGAACGAACGTCTCTCGTCCCCCGTAAATTTTCCGCCGAAGGAGAATCCGGAGAAAGTCCCGAGGAGAGAAACGATTCGTTTCATTTTTTTACGTTTTCTTTACCTTTATTTGTGAATCCGGGACAGTTTTCAACATCGAGATGCTCGCGCTATTCGAAGACAAATTGAATTTTGAGCACGTCCAAATCGAACGGTCGCCGGCCGAAGGAAAATTTTTTTGTCCGCCGAAAAACAGTATTATCGTGAGTCGAACCGGCGATCCACGGAAGAATTTTTTTCTCACGTCTCACGACGTTCAGTTCCGTTTCGTTCCAACCATTTTGCGTAAAATGCTCGCATGCACGATATCAAAGTACTGTCCCGCCGTCGAAAAGCTTAATGTCTATTTGTGCGCTTGGGGCACGGACACGCGGATCGCGGGTTCTTCCGGCCGACGTCGTTATCGTTCGTCTGTCGTCGTCTTCGTCGTCGGCGATCGATCCGTTGTCACGTCTCCAGCTCGAAATGTTTCTGTATAATGCCCGAATCTCCTCTTTTTTTTTGTTTTCCTCAATCATATTGAATGATGTCGGTTTACAAATACTCTTTTTTTTCTTTTTAACAATTTTACAAATATTTTCACCAGCGAGACCTTTTCTTCACCCCACCCCCTGTTCCCTCAGCGATCTTCGTCACATTGATTTCTACCCTCGTGTTTCGCTATTTTTCACCATTACCCTCGTGTCCCACGCCTACACTTGCCCCTTCTTCTTGCGTTTCCTTTTAGACAATGCTCTATAATCGAAAGTTAAGCCTAAAAATGGTGGATTGCCGGAAGTAAAGTCGGATGAGGAGATGACAGGGGCCTATGGTTATTGTTTCTCGTATTCTGTATCGTTTTGCTTCCTATTCTGAATCGAAAACCAAGTGGCGGCGTTCCCGTAACCGAGACGAGAGTGTGTGTGTGCAGAACGGATTACGTCGATGGTAACGAAACATAACCGGACGCTCGGAAAAAGTATATTATTTATCGTTTTTAACCTGAGAATTCTTCTTAGCCACTATTTAAATGCTGAATACATCGAATACATAGAACCTACATAGTACCTTTCTTCATTCTTCATTAATATACATAAACGACCACGACTTTATCTTTCATCCCCGTAAATTTTTCTTCAACCCCCCCGTTACCGAAACACGTAGTTAATTTTGATCCCAAAGAAACACAGCAAATACTCAAGAGAAATCGATAAAAACGAATGAAAAATCGTCGAACGAACAAATAGTGGAAATGATGTAGAAACAAACGATCGATCTACTTGAACGTTCATTTAAAGAGAATATAGTGGTATTAGGTAAAAGACGAATTCGTTAATCGAAAACGAAACGGTTAATGTGTTATGTTTATGTTTATACACATCGCCGTGGACCGTTAGCAAAATTTACATCGTTACATCGCGTCCCGTGCGAGACGCTAGCGTCGTTTAATTCGCGCTCGGTGATCTGCAAATATATAAGAGGGTCCCGTTCACGTTCGAACAAACCTTTTCAACATTTCTTGGAATAAGAATCGGTGTACAAGCTAATCTAAATCAGGCCAGCCCAATATTGTAAATAGAATCTTACAACCAGCAACAGATCATTGTAGAAGATATGTAAAGTAATGATACGTTATTATAGATTTTAACTGAGTTGCACCTTGCGTGACTTGCTCTTAGCTTTAACATAAACAAGCTTGAGGAGAATCTCCTTTGCACCAGTACTTTCGTTCGATGAATTTACATGTCGCCGAAGATACCGGCGAACGTCTTCCGAAGGTTCTTCATGGTGTCTTCGGAGTCTTCGTTTTGCGACTGGCTGCCTTGCCGGTGGAAAGGTACTTTAGATGTTGGCGGCGGATCTTCTGGACGTCGTCCGACGGAGGGAGCGCTGCTCACTGTACTCGATTGCGATGCTACATACAAAAAGATAAAATTGCTTTTCACTTTTAATTCTACTTATTTCTATGCATCGTATATAAGATAGAATTCAATTGGTCTGGAGCAGGTTATAGTATCGATTAATAAAAATTACATACATATTAGCGTTACAAACATTATTATAATTTATAATTATTGACAATAGTATTCGAATTACAATAATTTTTATTCATGCTTCAAATGGCTCCACTCTATCGTTGACGGTCTAATAATTGGATAATACTGCATTTATATAATGCTTCCGATTTAAGTGTTAATTGTCGTAGTTTGTTCTTATCAGAGATTCACGAACCTTGAGAATCACGGCGTTGCAGTTGATGGCTGTCGGTGCTAGTGTCAGCCGGCATTGCAGTTGTAGACCCGACGGACCCTAGGCTTCCTATGCTTCCCATGGATCCCATGCTTCCGTGCGATCCCAACGGTGCAGTTGGTGGTGCTGTGCGATCTTCAACGGGACTTGTTGCCTGACTGGAGCCAGACATTGACCCTCTAGACGCCGTTTTCGTTAACACGCTTGGAGGTCGGCAGCATGCCTAAAATATTATTTCAATTCAATCATATTTCAACAATACCTATATCTTCACAGGAATATTGATTCGCACACAGTATGGATTTAGATAAATGTAGATAATTCTTTGATTTATCAATATTTTACTAAGAATAGTAATAGGATATTTCCAATTGTATCGCCATTATTTTCTGTCTGATCGATTGGCATTTAACATTTTTATTTTTCGTCTGTCCACTCGCAATAAACTCGAAATTTTATTAACCCAAATTAATTAGGAATAACAATTTCGGTGTTTTCATTGCCTTTATTTGTTCCGTATTATAGACCATTAGACCTTTCACGTGAATATATTTTTTGTAATCTTTTAATAAATTTTGGAAATAGTTTCACGAGGCACGCGATGAAACTTTCCCGAAACTCCCTTTCTCACCTGCATCTTTGCAGTAACAAGATCAGCGATCTGACGACGATCTTCCTCCTGCGAGTCGCCCATTAACGACAGAGCGCTGTCGTTCACCTCAATTATATATTCCCGACCGTCCCTCCCGACCAGCAGCTCGATTGCGCAGATATCCAATCCGCCGAACAATTGGGCCACGTGATCGATCCAGGCGCGATGTCTCTCGCTCACCGCTAATTGCTCCAACATCGCCGAACCGGTGTTCGACTTCCAGTTTCCGCTTATGCTCTTCCGCCTGCGAGAAACATCGACAAACACCGTTTTACCGCGGCGCCGGTTTCCTGGTGTGAATGATTTACACATTCATCGCCGTTGCTCTGTCAATTAAACCCCCGGCTGGCGAGGTCGAGGTGAGACATCAATCCCTCTGCGCGTCGCGTTTAATCATTTCTAATTGACAGGCTTGATTATCGGCAAACTTTTACGTTTATCGCACCGTCCCATCCGCAAATACATTGCCAATGTAAACTCTTTATAATACAGAATTTTTAACTATCCACGCTCGGAGGCTTCAATAAAGAACGAGACAGACTTCAAGAGCCATAACTTGAAGATCTAAGAACTATGCTTCCTTATTACTGTTTTATTGGGTATTTTAGTGATTCCCACTGCCAGGATGATATACAGGCAAGATTAACTAGGACAGTAGACCATTGCTAAGATTCAAAGGAAGTTATTCAATTGTTATTTTCAATAAGAGGCGTACGAGTTTATTGGAGAACATTCTCACCCACCAGTTTCCTAATATCTATTTCCTCCTAGCAGTTAATAGCCGAGCTATGTAGCGAGCCGTGATACTCGCGGCTACAAGCTGTCCACCGATACAGCGTCTTTTTCCTCGGCTCGTGTTTATTGGAAACTATTGACGTTCGCGTGTACGGAACGGTTGGGGACGTGGTGCGCGACACTCACATGAACGCCTTGTAGTTATTGCCTATTTTCTGCACGTGCACGTCGTACTTAGTGTCGACGTACGGCTCCGACGTGCAGTAGGTGTTCGCCAGAGCAGCCAACGAGGCGAGATCCAGAAACTCTTGATTCGTCTCGGCACGGGCTTTTCCCACTCCGCCGTGGGCGTGGCCAAGTTTCACCACGACTGGATAACGAGATGCGCTCACCTGCAAAAGAAGATAATCAAGGGAAATAATTAATGCGAAGGCACGATTACGTGACGAGCCCGGTCGAGTGGGTCAGTTTATCGGCAGCGCGACGCCGGTACCAGATTTTGAACGCGACGATCCGACTAGCGAATGCGAGGACGATCTTGATATTATCGTGCCTCTCATTCGATTATTTCATTCGTTAACACGTTGCGTGCTGGTTGATTCTTAGAAAACTGGTCGATTTCTCGATGAGATCAACTTATAAGTTCGTGATGTATCACTATATGAAAAATATTCAAATATCTTATTATTTCATAAGTATTAAACAAGTAATCAGTTCTAATAAAATTTAATATTTCTTTAAATGATGTGGTAGGCCGCAAAATTACAAAAATAGGTTTAAATGAAAACGAGATTTCTCGTTTCCGGTACGCAATGTGTTAACAGGTGTTACTACTCGTTTAATGAGTATATTGATATATTTAATCTTCGGATAGCAGTGATAGGTATAGATGAAGCATCTAAAGATTAAAAATTTGTTCGAGAAGGAACTGAAAAATTGACTGAAACATGGAAACAACTCTACGAGAGTGTAGCTAATGAAGTAATAATTGCAACTGACTGTTAATGTTCATATTTTACACTGGAGTCGTTGCTTCAGAATGTTCTGATGCTATTATCGAGCACATTCTTACGTGTGATGGTAGAACATTGATTAACAATAACACCGGAAATTCTGCATTCCAGTGTAACATCGATGGAAACCAGTCCCGACGAGACGCCTACAGCGTTACCGAGCTCGTCTTCGGTAATCGACATACGTTAACCGACATCTGTGAATGAAGATCAAAGTCTGCCGATACGCAGGCGGTTGATTAAGCAGTCTACAATATTCGCGTAGGCTGGAAAAGATTATTACACGCCGATAGCACTGCCGCGAGTAGTTACGTCCGCTGAGATCTGTTCCAGCCGATTATCCATGAAACATTTCACTCGGCTCCAGTTTCCACGGTCGTGGAAAAGCAAACGCGTGCGTGTCATCCCATCGTACCGGTTTCTATCCCCGTGATCGATCATATACAGAGTTTTATGCGGATATTGCCTTTTTTCGAAACTTGCGTATTCAGAAATCAAATCGTCATTTTAATGTTCCCGCTGATTGAACATAGATTTTCTAATTCAAGCTTGATTGAACACAGTATCAAATAATCTCAGAAATAAAGTTAAGAAATATATCAGTCGCTCAGAAGCCAATGTGGTTAAGTCGATTTTTTTATATTTTCTGATTTTTGTACGTTCTAATGGAACAGATAATGTTCTTTATAATTACTAAAGGATTTACTCGGCTGTTCGTTTCCTCGTTAGGTCAGAATATGTTGTATAATCATTTCAGAAATCAGGACATAAATTTTCTCAGTTTCTGTTCTTTAGACTTAACCGGATTGACTTCTGAGCGACTCACATATACGTCCTAATTTTGAATAAATTTTCTTCTACCCTCGATCTTGACAACGAGAATTATCTTTTTCCAGAGTCTAGAAAGGGACTTGAAACAAATCATCAATCACAATGTCTATGCACCCCTAAGTATCTAAACGATGATCCTAGAGTGCTCGTAACAGGGTAGACGATTACTGTATCCAACGCTATACATCAAGCTTCCTTCCCAAAAGCAATCAGCACAATTTCCACGAATCTCCTCTAATTCCACGAGTAATCGAGTTAAGAAAAAAGGGTTGAGGACAGCGTGAAACGTGAATGCTTTCCGGTATGTCCCGTTAGAATAGATAACCGTGGTATTCCCGTTGATAAAAAGAAGTCTACCGTCTGGCGCGCTTAAGTGGTCAATATCATTTGATATTGACTTTAATCCCCGCTTTTTCTCAAACGAGCTCCTATTTGCATTTTCCTGTCTAGCCTGAGAATGTGAAACGAAGTACGTAACGTCATGTTCATCGACCAACAGCTGAATTTTCGCGAAATCCGCTTTCACAGCGGGACGGAGACCTCATCGCCCGACTATGATAAACTACCGTACAACCCAGGGGATATGTTACAAGAAACCGCTCATCCAGCCACTGTCGTTGAATAAAAATATCTTTTTTTTATATTCCTAACCCTTTACTATTCGGAGTACACTTGGTTTTCCAAATCGAAACTTGGATGAATGTTAGAAAAATATAAAAATCATACTCATATACAATATGTTTACGATATTATAAACAATTATAGTAAAAATAGGCGGATCATCTAACAACTAGAATAACATTGATTACCAACTCTGCCCCAGCATGGAACCACGACAAATTAATGACGTACATATTTTTTGCACAGTCATAATTATAGCTTCCCTATGAATATACAAGCAACGGATAAACATACGCTCATCACAAATCAAAACAGAAAGTCGAATGTCAAAATGTTATGTTTATTTGACACATTACAGAGGACTGTGTATCGGGTCGTATGAATAGGTACTAGCTGCAATTTTTTCGTCGCGTTACACGGATCCGCGTTACAGGGGAGCGCGTTATGCGGGAGTCCACTGTATTTACAGGCTGACGTAGAAAAAGGAAGTGACTGTTTAATGGATTGCCCCACGGGTTCGTCTACCCGGGGAACGATAGATAGGGCAGGCCGATGTTTCGCTGGGAGCAGTGCTCAAACCGTACGGGGCACGCACGTGTTTATGTCGGCACGTGGGTGTCGCGAAACTGCCTCCCTGAGCACCGCTGGACGCGTGCCCCCCACCCCGAAACCTCGCGCGGACACCAATGACGGGGATCAGCGGCGAGGGACACGGAGATAAATCATTTATCGTGCTCAGGGGAACTTTCGAGGACTCCGAGGGCAGACAGGGAGGGCAGACACTAAAAATAATGCGCATTTCACGCGGACCGCACCGAAAGTTTATATCCACGTGACACGGCACTCGGTGGTAATGAATAAGTAACTCGAGGCTGCGCAGAACATTGGTCACTCGGGGCTGAACATTCGTTTCTGTTTTTTTACTGTTGATTTAACCGCCCAGTGATGGCACACTTTCTTAACACTCGATGCACGGATATTTATTTTACAATCGCGTTGTTCATTCGTGTAGATCTTGGAAATCAAAGCTTTCAACGTAGACGATCGGGATACTATTCGTACGATTGCACGGATCAAAATAGACATAAACTGTTACCAAATTGTGTTTATGAAAAGTAATGTCTGTTATACTGAGTAAATAACTGTTGAAGTTAATGTGAACTGCTTTTAGTTTTCGAATGATAAAGGTGTTTGTGAAGAGACATCTGTGTGTAATAAAGATTCATTTATGCGGACGATAATGGATGGCCGAAACATTTGAGAGACACTGTATATAAGGACTTTCTAACGACCCTCGATATTTGTTGTCTAAACGTGTTTCCTTAATCCGAGAATATTTATCTTTTCTGTAAGCCCTAGAATAGCCGCTAGAAAGTTTGGAACTGTTGTAGGAACTGTTGGAAACATGTGTATACTTGTTAAGTTAATTATTTTAAGTAACTATAAACTAATTTAATTGGTAAGGGTTAAGAAGTAACAGCTTCGTGTCAGAGGTAAATTTACTGCGCCATAAAGTCTTTCTGAAATCCAGTAACTAATTTTCCATCTTTGGTTAACGGTACAACTGCAAGCAATTGATCGTTTCCTAGACTACAGCCATTTGACGGAAACATTACAGTTTCGAAATCGTAGAGCATCGAAATTCCCGGGATTCTGTAAGTTCACGGATTCGTCCGTAATAAATTTAATTTTCTCGTATAAACTTATCTTCCAACAGCTGAACCGCCATCGGGATAACATCGTACGTTTGAAACTGTATACTTATCGAATATTTAGTTACTGGAATGCCCGAGGTTCTTCGAATGCTAAGATCCACGTACATATGCTAAATTTTATGTCTTCGTCGGCGTAACTTTACACAGATAGAGGTTCTCACTGGGTCAGCGATATTTGTATTTTGATACGTTTCGACTCTCGGATTCCTGAGATTCCACAAATTCGAATGCCCATTCACACGAAACTTTCTTCGGCGAAAGAGCAAGGTTACAGTGAACAGGATTCAATCGCAAATCGGCTATTTACCATCGAACTTCTTCCAAGTTCCTTTCTATTCCGTTAACCTAAATATCTTATAATAATCTAATAATGAAAATCAAAATGTTAACCTCATTCTTCATCAATGTTATATTTATAACTCGATGGGTTCGAATTTAATTGCTCGGCCGTATAAGCATAAAATTTAATCGCCATCGAGTTCAATGGTAATAATCATAAACAAATCTGTCAGGTAAAAAAAGTAATAATTATTATGATAGCATTGATTACTATTATTATCATTCTCATTATAAAAAGATAACAATAACCGTTATTATTCCTACGAGTAGATTATATAATCGAATGTACCCCGGTCACGAGACTCCCACCGAGACATGCAGGCAAACGCAAATTCGGTTGGCGAAAGACAAAATGCATTTCATTTGAGTCGGGTCTCGTGTTCCGTGCGGCGTCAAGAGGATTAAAAAGGCCGTAGCCACATTAAATGATAGTAATCGTGAATCAAACGGTGACGAGTGGAACCCCCGCAAGCACGTTTCGGCGTGTACCAGCGAAAAGGGGGAATATCCCGGAGCAAAGAGGAAAGCGATCACCGGTGATCAAAACGAGGAAGAAAAGAAAGGGGCAAGACAGAAAAAAACGAGGAAGTAGATCGACGTAGCTCGGAACAGGGGGGAAAGAGAGGAATACTCCATCGTGGACGAGGAGGAAACGCGCAGCAAGCGAGAAGAAGAGAGGAAACTGTGGGTGGCCAGCTGGGAGACGGAAAGTGAGCAAGGTATACCAAAGCGGTGGGAGATAGTGCGGATAGTAGGGGTAGGCCGGCGAGGTGGAGGGATAGCGGAGGATCAAACGGAGCGGGACAGAGCGAACGTAATGAAAACGCGGGAGAGAGACGGCCGATACCTGTGCCACGCGCGACAGAGCGAGATAGGTGGGAATGTGGAACGAGCGGCAGAAGCGGGGATGGAACGAGAGGATAAGATTGAAGGAATAGCGATAAAGACAAGGAATAGGTATGAAGAGAGATCGAACCCCGTGGAGCGGAAAGGGCAGCGAACGTCGGAACGAAGCGAGAAAGACAAAGAGGCTTATACGTATATATATAAAGAGAGAGAGAAAGGTAAAAGTCAGAAATGAGAAGCGAGAAGGAGAACACGGGATGATTGAACGGCCGCGAGTGGGAGCGAGAGAAAGACGGGGAGAGAGAAGAGCCGAGGGAGAAAGGTGGGACGAGAGCGAGACGGAATTAGCGGCGAGATCGACGACGTAAGGAACGTAGGAAGGAACGAGAGAGGCTCCCGGTGTGTGTCGGTTCGCGCTTGCATTGCTTTTCGAAGCTCGCGCGCGAAAGGTTCTTCGGCTGGCGAACGGTGCGTGAGTGCGTGTGTGCGCCTATCCGATAAACACACGTGAAAATCCAGTCGGTCCTCTTTCGCGGCCGGCGTCGTATCGGTCCCGAGACACCTCGCGGACCCGCTAATCGCGCGTGGAAAGCTCGAGCCACCGGTGATCCTCGCGGTTTGGTGCGCCGATCGATTCCGGATCCCACTGCTCGGGACCCGGGGAACCGGACGTATTCATCGTCGGTCCGTCGTCGACGGGCCGTCCGCGGCGTTCGCTGATGCCCGCGAGTCTTTGAGGTCAAGCGGAATAACGGAGAGAAAGGGCCAGTGCAAGTTGGAGACCGTCCGAGGAAAGCGGAAGAAGAAGGATCTCTGTTAGGGGTCACGGAGAAAGGTATACTCGCTAGCCGCGTGTGCGCGACTTTTCGCGTTTACGCCGCGTCGCCGGCCACGACGTTTCCGCGTTCGCCGAGAACCGCGGCGAGGTTTCTTGCTCTTTGAGTCTTCTTGTAGCACGCCGCTGCACGCGTTCCGCTGTTTGCCTGTTAACGCCTTCGCCGCTACTTGAATTTCGTTCTTCCCGTAGCGGTGTTGGCTTTCTTTTATCTCTGCGTTCGGGCATGCGAGCTCATTGTCGGTTGTTATTTGAGCACGCGGAATGCTGGGAATTTAGGAGCGACGATGTTAGAGGTATTACTGCGGCGGGACGTTCTCATGAAAGCGGAGTCGCGACAGCGAGGATTCGGCGAAGAGACGATGGTAATAGTTACGTCAGAGGCATTCGTCTCTGGATTTCTGGGTTTCTTGTTCGCCTCTCTGGGAATCTTCATTTGAATTCATGGAATCCGTAGATTAACGTGAATTAAATGATGAGTATATATTTGCTGCGGGGTGACACGCTTTAGATTGTTATCGTTATCTTTTGTTTGTGCCTTTCTATATTAAACATTGTTTTGTTCGGAATAGATATCTATTTTCATTTTACATTACATCGTGCTAGACGGGAACTGTATTTATTTGTCTTTGAATATTTGAAATAGGGTTTCACCGAACATTGACGGTAACATTATCAGACGCGTTTCGATGCAACACTGCATTTATCGGACCGATCGGTTGGTATTTACCAACAATATCGTCGATCGAATCGAACGGGTTGTATCGTTCCGTATCCACGGCGTTCCCGCCAAGTTCACCGAAATGTTAACAGGTATACACAGGCGGAATGATAAATCGGCAAACGGTGTCGCGATCCCGCTCGAGCACAGAAGTCCGTAGAAGCACGATTACGCGAGTATTCGCTGCGCGTGTTCAGCAAAGTTTATTTTGGCCTGCAGCCGAGTCTGATGTCATCGTCTTGATTGCTAGTTCAATAAAGCGTCGAATCTAATCTCGCCCCGAACGGGGCGAATTAAAGCCTGACACATCCGCAGAAGTGCATTATCTTCTGCTCCAAATTCCCGAGCCGGATGACCCCGCGGCCGATGCGTTATTATAGCGTAGCGGCGTCCAACCATTCTTGGCACGAAAGAGTTTTCGGTTTGACAGTGATCGCTGGGGGTTACCGTGCGTCGGACGTGACTAATTTATAGACGTATTCTATGCCTACTTGAAAATTTACAGGTTAAACGACCTTATTTTAATAGACTCATAAAATGAAATAAAAAAGTAGAACGTTCTTCTTCGCTCGAAAAAAACGAAGGAATGAACATTATATTCTCAATATTCAAAAAATGACGAACACAAATATTCTTAAGATAATTGCGTCGAAAATCATGTAAAAATTAAAATATTTCATGATACAAATATTAAGATATTTCATTTTATGGTTTGCATTATTAATCGGTATTTCATTTCTACTATAAAATATTATTCTCTGTATAGTAGTCAATATTACAAACGCTATTTAAAATAACCTTTCTCCGAAATTCCCGCAGCTCTGTTCGGCACAGAATCATTCACGTTCAACTGTGACACAGGGTCGGCTGGGAACACACGTTCGCCAGCATTTACGGCCGGCGGGTTTTGCTCGAAACGCGAAAACCGCGGGCGTAGGGCGCGGTTATCGTAAACAGAAAATATAACAAGAGATGAAGACATTTACGGTCGTTTCATTATGTTAATTCCACGCCTGGACACATATTATGTCCGCCACTCGTGTCGCATCAGGAAAAAAGGAGCAGCCTCCGATTTCTGTGACTTCGTGCGCGAATGAAACTCTCACCTCGTTGCGTTCTGTCATTAGCGAGCGACAGACCGCGTTATGAATAATTCATGCCGCTAATTAGTCGGTGGTCGGATCTATCGGCGTCCGGCACTTCCCGATCATCGTTTCCCTTTGCCGCGACTTCGCCGATCTCGATAAACGAATCATGTCTATGATAGCTGCAATGGAAGTAAATAATTGCCCGCCCCGCCGAGAATTAATTAGTTCGACGAATCGAGTTCGAGACGCAGCTGAAACGTTCGCGAATTGAGACGTGGGCTGGAAACGAGATCGGTTGTATCCGACATTGTGGCTTGTTTCTATGAAACCTGGAAACATATGCGTCAGATGGTACACGGAATAGGAAACGCAGCGGATCGAGATCGAAGAAGAAGTACCACCAAACATGCAAATGGTATGCTAATAATATTGGTGTTCCATTACCGATTGCTGTCAACAAGGTGACAGAATCGATTTGAAAAAAAAGGAAGGGGACGGGGAGCGAGGGTTGCCCGTAGCATGCATAAATTTCAATCCATTACGTTTTATTATTCGAGACGTTGTGTATACACGACTCCCAACGAAATTCCATATTCATGGACAGGCCACCGGTACGCGTATCTCTCGCGAACGGATTTTTTCATACACGGACGCCGTGTTTCTTTCCATTTTTTTTTCTTCCCTCCCCCTTTTTTTTTGTTTCCCCGGTCGTAACGGCGAAAGTCCACACATTCGCCGGATCACCTTAATTGCGGTTTCTAGCATGCGAAACACATCTCGTTAGCGACCCAGCGATTGCGCTATCTGGGCGTTTATCATGCCAAGTGATTGCTACCGTGGAAATTCGTGTTTTGATCGTTTCAAGGAGCTTCCGACTTGCTACTAAATTGCAGTTTCGCGGAGCCTTGTAACTACTTGATGATGTTTGGTTGGTATTCTGTATGATCTTTCATGTTTACTGTTTTTGTTTGCCGAGATAAAATTAATTGCTACAGATAGTTGGCGAATCTTATGTTATGAGAAGTAACGAGGAAATGAGGAGATAAGAAGAAGCTTTCAAAAATGTTTATTCCTTGTGTCTATGCTGATGATTTAAGAAATGAGTAGGGTTTCGTTCGGGTTTAATATGAAATTGCTAGATTTCTTTATTAAATGGTACTTCTTTAAATAAATACTGGCAGATACTACTTAGCAACAATACCAATAACATTTCATTTAATGATACGATGAGATATAAACAAGCGTTACCGGCGAGACGAACCTCGTAAAATTCATCAGTACGAGCGTTTCGGTTCAAGCTTCAGTTAAACGCGAATCCGACGCCCGTGTAATCGAATTTGGTACGCTTCCGAGCAATCGATTTCGATAAGTACGAAGGAAAATATGTGCACGAGTACCTGCTCGCACGAGTCGACCGTATTGAAGAACAGAGTTGATTTAACAATCGTTTCCTTCGCATCAATCCATCCAACATTGATGCGGTTATTACTCAATATTAAACTGTCTTCACATCTAATCGGAAATCTCTTGCACAAGTTTTACTTTGCAACATTTTACAGCAAATTAGACTATACAACAGATTCATCGAATACACACTAAGCAACTAATATACATACAACATATACCAAAAAATGTAGCAGCAAAGTCACGAAATCCACGTAGGTATCAACAATCTTCGTCACGATCTCTCTTCGAATAAATCACGCGTAATGCTAGAAACATAATTCCTCTATTATTGGAAAGCTCCTTTATCCGAACATTTTAGTATTCCTATCAATTCCGACGCGAGAGGCTTCGTGTACAAGTGAATGCGACTTTTTATGAAAACGGCCCTGCGACTTGTACGAACCCCGCGTACCTGGCGCGCATAAGCGTCTAAGATTCTCGGAAGAACCCCCACAAATTCCCATTTGGCTCCCAAAGGTCCGGCGGGTATGATTCCTCGTAATGTCCACGTTCGGACGTGGACGGCGTTCATTAGAGGCAAGTGATTCCCCAAGTACAAACAGGAACGAATGGCCCCGCGCGCGTTATAAATCGTACGGCTGCCTCCCCACGTCGTAGGCTCGGATTGTGATACGCCGATTAACCGACCGAGGAAGATATAATCCCTCGCGTTCGACTCGTAACGGTGTGTAATGCATAGGCCCGTATCGGCTCTGTACGATATTACGTTTATTACGCGTTCCGCCGATACGCGGAGGACCGTGTGGCGCCAACCAGCCGGCCGGTCCGCGCACCTACGTTATGTACACTCACATAGGTAACCACCGCGTGTCCGGTAGGGATGGGATCAAGTTCAACACGCGCTCGCGAGTCCGAGTCAATTTTAATAGCCGACTTTCGCTCCGCGGTTTTCGAACACTAACGACAGGTATTCGATCAAACGGGGCGTGTGTCGTAATTAGGTTCCAGTTCCTTATGCAAATTCGAATTTTTGCGGATCGCACCGTGACAAGCGGAGCAAGGGAAGGAGTTTCTTTCGGAGGGAAGATTCCTTCAAGTCAAAGTAACGGAATCATTTACGTTTCAATCGTTTCATGATAGAAATTCGGTTGCATTTATTTGAGAAGCTCGCACAAGCGCATGGGGATTGTTAGAGTAAGCGTGATAATTGTTCGCCGATTGAACGCGAAGAACACTTTCGCTAATGACGAAGGCTAATATTGGACCGCCCCATAATTTCGCGAGGATGTCTGCCAAGTCGACATTTGATAGGTATTATTAGTGAAGATAGTCAGCTTTCGCAAGACATCTTTGTAACTGCGTTTGGAAGCTGACCTCGGAGAATGTTTCTTGGCGAAAGTGACGGTGAAGGAACGGATCGTCGATCATACTATAAGCAAAATGCATTTAACTTTTTCAAAAGTAGGTAGATGTCACGATCAGGTCGCGACGAAGGAACACAATGATTATGATCATTGTACTCTAACGTTCAATCCCAATTCCCTGAAACGGCTTCACTTCACACGACCAGGACTTTCCAATCGAACACCTTGTCTCAAGGAAGAACTCATCTCCCCCCAGCGAACAGATTGGACTCGCGAATCGGATTATTTATAACCGGCGGTTTTCGTGACCGCGCTCGCGACGCCATTGGTATCGTGGAACGATAGGGAACGGGTGTGGGACAGGACACGCGGCGTGTACGTTCCCGATAACGCCGCGGGAGTTCGCGATACATTCTTCTT